CGCGGGCGCACCTGCGCTCGAGCGCCTCCTTCTTATCTTTCAAGACTGCCTCAAGACCGGTAATCTATGCCGGCGACAGCGGCTCGGTTCACCGCGGCCGCCAACCGGTCTGGCCCCTGCCGGCGACGGCCTCGCATTCCGGGGCAGACATGCGGATATGGAGTCCCTTGACTGACATGCTCTATTAGATAGGGACAAGATGTGCAAACCAACGTTCTTATGCATGTATGTGCATCATAATACAGGGAAAACTGGATAGACGTGTATGGGTATTTACGGAGCGTGCACACACAAACATACGCACACACTCACCCCCACGCACAATCACATGCGCGAAACTTATCTAAATCTATTTGTTTATATATGTCTACATATATCGTTACTAATATGACTATACAGTTTACAGTTGTGCACATACATGTACATATCCATTCATGTCAACGAACCGTTTCCCTGTACTGCAATAGAGAATAACAATACCACTTTTCATTTAGTTAAAAAGGTTTCGTATCTGTCCACATGCTCACGAAACGTCGTCCCATTAGATGAAAAAACCTAACCAGCAAGCTAAAAGTCTAACGGAGCATCTTACCGACAAGCCTAAATCTAACTTTAAACAGCTGTCTTCTCTATTCACAAGTGTGAAAGTCAACTTCCGTCTCCCAGCGTCCTCACATAACACACTTGCATGCATGTTTGAGTGAATGTGACAGTATGCGGACTTAACACTGAAACTGATAGCTGAGGAGCGGGTGTCAGTCGGAGGGGCAGTGCGGGGCCGGTTGCTATGTAGGGAAGTCGTCCCATCTCGAGGCAAGTACGTGGCAACAAGGCGTGACGTCATCCACAGCTGACTAGACTGACTTGCTCATTAAATGTTTACTTGAAAAAACCCTGGTGATTGGGTCCGAAGTGGATGTGGGTTCATGGTCAACGAATGTAAATGCTTTATATGTTCACGTCCAGGACGCAGTGTGTGTTAGTTTGCATATGTGCAGTGGACACCCACCCGTACACACACGCACACACACACACACACACACACACACACACACACACACACACACACACACACACACACACACACACACACACACACACACACACACACACACACACACACACACACAGACACACACGCACGCGCGCCCGCGCAGGTACACACAAGTAAACAAACAGACAGGCACACAAACATGAAGTAAGTAGTCAGATATTTCATTGTCAACCTAAATATCCTCCTACACAGGCACACACCCACGCACACATTCTCTCTCTCTCTCTCTCTCTCTCTCTCTCTCTCTCTCTCTCTCTCTCTCTCTCTCTCTCTCTCTCTCTCTCTCTCTCTCTCTCTCTCTCCCTCTCTCTGTCACTCTGTCACTCTGTCACTCTCACTCGCTCAATCACTCCCACTCTGTCTCTGTCTCTCCCTATTATCTCTCTCTTAAACCTCCCCACCCAATCTCTCTCTCTTTCTCTCTCCTTCCCATCCTCTCCCTCCAGCACTCTCACTCCCATTGTCTCTTCGTTCTCTCTCCCTATTTAACCCTTTTTCTCTCTCTCCTCTTTTCTCTTTTTCTCTCTCTCTCTCTCTCTCTCTCTCTCTCTCTCTCTCTCTCTCTCTCTCTCTCTCTCTCTCTCTCTCTCTCTCTCTCTCTCTCTCTCTCTCTCTCACTCTGTCTTTCTCTCTCACTCCTACTCACCCTGTCTTTCCCTCCTCTTTCCTTTCCCACAGAAGGAGGTAAACAGTACTGTCAACCTGAAAAGTAAAGACAACCGAGCTTTGTCTCCCTCTAGCCCCCAAAAGACCATCTCTACTTCCCGGTCGCCCGATCAGAGCATGAAATCATAACTTCCTTACTTGCATATTCCCAAGGCCCTGTTTACAATGGCCTCAGGGCGGAGGTGGAGCCAGAGGCCTTCGCTCATCAGGCGGGATTCGTGTCTCAGTGACCTTCAGGGGTCGACTGCTGCTGCATGGAACCGTCCTCTGCAGCGCCTAATCGATCTCAATTATTCTTTTCTTGGTTAAAAAAAGAGAGATCAAAATAATTTTGCATTGTAATTATTGTGCTTGTTTTTTTCCTCTTCATTTTTTTTATAGTGAATGCCATGGGCTTACGCAAGAGTTACTCTCCGTGCTATCACGTCTGGCTTGGCATAACGAGTCGCCGCGAAAACCTGTTTGTTTGGGACTCATGTTTCTATGGCAGGGGGCTTATTTGTGTATGCACACACGAGATAGTTAATTCTTAGAAAACCGAGAATTACTGGCTCAGGCACACACACACACATACACTTACACACACACACACACACACACACACACACACACACACACACACACACACACACACACACACACACACACACACACACACACACACACACACATACACATACACATACACATACACACAAACACACACACACACACACACACACACACACACACACACACACACACACACACACACACATACACATACACATACACACATAC